GGGCTGGAGGCGGCGCGGGGGTGGCGGCGGCGCGCTGGCTGGGGCGGGCCGGCGGGCGGTGCCGCGCAGGGGTGGAGAAAGAGAGAGACGGAGAGAGGGGCGCCACGTGGATGACTCACCGCTCCACTGCCAGGAAAAGAGGGCCGTGTCTCTGCCGGCCTTTGCCCGCGCACGCGCTTGACGCGAGGCTTGACGCCCCAGACACCTGTCGTGCCGCCAGAGCCGCGGCTAGCCGGCCAGACCCTCTCTCCGTCTCGCTCCCTCTGCCGCCGTGGCTGTGGGGGTGGGGGAGTCCTAATTGTGATTTAAATCCACAGCGTGCAGGTGAATGGGACCGCCGCATCAGCATGTGAAAGGCGGGCAGGGCGGCCTGGCGGGGATGAATGCGCCTCGCGTGTGCCGCCGCACGCCCGCCGCGTCTCTCTCTCTCTCTCTCGCACTCGCGGCGCGCCCCCCAGGGCCGTGGGCAAGGCCGAGAGAGAGAGAGAGACGGCGTGCAGCGCACCCTCGCCGCGGTCCTTGATCCGGACTCTGTCCTTTCCCCGGCCGACCCCCCGGCCTTATCGCTGGAGCGCGGCTGTGTGGCAGTGTGGCAGCGCGGCCCATGTCGCCAAGGAAGCGGCGGGTGGCTCTCTCTCTCTCTCGCTCACTTGCGTGAGGGGTTTAGCGTGTACGCGCCGCTGGATCCGCGGTCGACTTTTGGACCGCGGGGCCGATGCGTCAGCGTGTCGTCGGAGAGACGTTGGCAGTGCACACCGACACACACCAACACAAACGGCCTGCCTCGCGCAGCTGCGCGCTGCGCGTCGACATGTTGCCCTGCAGCTGCCTCGCTTCGCGGCGGCGTCCTTGGGGCCTTGACGGCTGCCCCTCGCTGCCCCCGTTCGCCTCCGTTTATTGGGGCTGCCACGGGAACGGGGTCGCCGATCTCGGTTCGGTTTGGCACTTTGAGGACGAAGGTGCGGCGCCCTGACGTGCGTCTCTCTCTCTCGCACCCCAACGGCACGCCCCACAGTGCGAGAGAGACAGCGCCTCGGCACCGGGCACGGATTGCACGGGGTGCTTGGGGAGCGTTCCTCCCGGTTGCTGCTCCCGCCGGGCATCCCGCGCTGCGGTTCCTCTCGCCCGGGAGGTGGTGTACAGTGCAGGCGCGCTGCTGGCCGTGCTGGCGCCACCGAGGCCGCAGCGTCGCCGCGCCGCCGCGACGCCCCGCCGGTTGTTGAACCCTAAAAGTGCACCGCGACGCCACGCCTCTGCAGCGGCGGGGCGCGGGGCTTGGGGGCCACTGGGGCGCCGGCCAAGGACTACGCGGCGCAGGCCAAAAGCAAGGCGAAGCAGGCAGCGAGAGCACGGCCCCCGAGCCGTGGCGTGGAGGCGGGGGTAGTACACCGCCTGGCGCCGGTCTTGTTGTCGGGGTCCTGCAGGCTGCCAGCCCCGCCAGCCCGGCTGGCTGGCTGGCTGCGCGGTCTGCTCCATAATCCGGGCCTAACGCCACTGTAATGAGGTGCCTGCATGCCGCTCAAGTGGGCGACCGCTATCATGGCGCCGCCTGCCATGCCGCGCCGGAATGGATGGCTTTAATTTGATGCACCCCTCGTGTGGCGCCTCCTGACAGATGCCGCGGCCCGGCCACGCAGCGCCACACAGTGCCACGCACGCCCACCCCGTGACGGACGGACGGGCCGGGGGAGGGGGTGGGGGTTGGGGGGCGTGCAGCTGGCGCGGCGCATTTCGTTTAGTTGTTTGAGACTAATAGCGTGACTTGTACCACTCCGGAGGGCGGGGTCTGTGCGGCCTTTACCTGCGCGGCATTTGTGTAAAAATGTGTGACTGCGACAGAGAGGGATTGGCTGCCGTGCTGCCGTGCCTGGCGGTCGCTGCGCGCTACCCCTTTGCCGCGCGGGACGACGACGACGACGTTGTTTCTGGGAAACACGACGAGGCGAGGCCCTGGAGGCCCTGGAGCGAGCAGGCAGCCCTTGCCTCTCCGGTGTCTCTTCCGTCGCCATATCGTGCCTTTCCGCCCCCAACCCCCGCCCCGACTCATGATTAGACCTGGAACGAAATTGTGCTCAGCTGAGGTGGAGCAGGCGCCCCCTTTTGCTTTTATTCTCCAGGCCACTCACTTTCTCCAGATTAGGGGTGGCTGAATTTTCCCCTCTGCTTTTCCTTTAGGAAAAAATAGAGGCCCGAAAAAAAAAAGGTGATGTGATAAGGCTCGTCCGCTAATGGCTTCGCGCGCCATTTCATTATCCCTTCGACTTGTCGCTCGCTACCTCTGCCGGCCTTTAATTGAAATGAAAAATAAAGCAAGTTCGGCTGCCTCTCTGCAGACCTGCCTGCCTGCCTGCGCGGCCTGCGGGGGAATTGAATTGATCCCCTTTGATTGGGGATCGCCGCCGGGGGTGGGGGTAGCTGCTGGAGCCTCCAGCCATGCCTCCAGGCGCCTCCAGCAGCGAGGCTGAGGGGCTTAGCGTTATGGCCGACATTTCCCTGCGGTGTTTCCCCCTGGAGTAGACTACTAGTGGCGGCTGCGGCTTGCTGGGGGTGCTCCCCGCTCGCCCCCGTTTTTGCAGCGGCAGCGCCGCCTCGCGCTCGGCGTTCTAGAGTTCCACGGCCGCTGGTTTTAGCGGCGCTGGTTTCGCGGGGTCGTTATCGCTTGTTGCAGGCGCGGCGGCGCGGCACTCCCCGGCCCTCCATGGAGGCCGCGAGGCGCGCCGCTATCGCCGCCCGCCCGCAGGCTCCCTCCGAGAGTCGTTTTCGTCGCCCCGTCCCTCTCGCACTCACGGGGCGTCCCGTTGACGAGCGAGAGAGACGATGCGACGAAAACCGACTCTCGGAATCAGTGTGCTGGAGGGCCTGGAGGCAGGCTGTCGTACACAACGCGGCCGCCACGCGGAAGGCCGCCGGGCTGATGTCGGCCCTGGCCGCGCCGCGCCCCGCGCCCGCCTCGCGCCTTTGTCTGAAGCCATTCTTACAGCGCTGCTACACTCTAGCCGCCCCGCCCCGCCCCGCCCCTCGAGGCCGCTATTACGGTCGCCAGTCGCCACCCCCGCGCCGCGTTCGCCGAGACGCGCGGCTCGTTTAAATTTATGAGAATCGCGCGCCAAGCGGAAGCAAAGCGGCCGGGAATCGCGGGCCGGGGATGATTAAAGATTTGTTTGGCGGCTTCTGCGTGGAAATTCGCGGCGCGCTGTTGGTTTTTTGCGGGTTTTCCGCCTCCCCTTTCCACGCTGGCCGTGTTTGCCGCCCGCCCCCAGTTTGTAGCGTTTTGTTGATTATCAACCCTTTTGGCGCTGTGTGCTCTGCCGCGGCCGTGGCGCCCCCCGCGGGGTGGCGCGGCGTGGAACCGGATAAAAAGAGTGTAGCGGCGAGGGGCGTTTGTCACGCCGGACGTCCGGGCCGCGCGGCCGCCTGGCCATGGCGCCGCGGCGGCTTCATTTACTCCGCGTTAATGACGCCCGCGTCCCGCTTCGGCCGCGTCCACCTCGGCTTCGTTTTGGCGGTCGTATTTCGCCGCGATCTGCAGCGGGCGGCGGCCGAGGCCCCGGCGTCGTTGCCGTTACCGCCTCGCCCTTTTTGTTATCGCCGTGACATATTCTATTACGGGGCGCCCCCACGGGCCCGCGGCCTGGCGGCACGGCCTGGCCGAGGGAGGCTTGCCGTCGTGCTGCTGCCGGGGGCGGAGCGCGTAGCCTAGCACCGCGCGCCGCGTCCCGGGGGAGCGCATGCCGGTGAGTCTCGCTCTGTTGCTCTTGGCACGGCCAGGGCGAGGAGGCGCACTCACTCACACAAACACACACACACTCGCAACGCGCACGCAGCCTAGCCCAAAGTCAGCTCTGCCTGCGCCCTACCCTTGACGCCGCCCTGGCCGCTCTGGGGGCAGTGACCTCACCCCCGGGCCGCCCGGCCTGCACGGCCTGCAGGGGATGCGTCGGGTGGATCAGTGCTGCACTCGCTGGCGCCGCCCTCCCCGGCCCGGCCCGCCCCGGCCCGCCCGCATGCAGCCAGGCTGTACAGCGAGAGGGCTGTAGTGGCTGTTACAAGCGAGGCCCCGCGGCGAACTGCTCGGGGGGGGGGGGGGGGGGCATGGAGATGCGCCGCGTGCGAACGGCGCCAACTGTCTCTGTGAGTGTGTGTGTGTGTGTGTGTGTGTGTGTGTGTGTGTGCCTGTGAGCGTGGGCGCTCCACACCGCACTCACTTTCGCCACCTCAGCCCAGGCCCCGGCGTGCCCGAGGCCCGAGGGCTGTGCTCCCTCGCACAGCCACGCACCGCACTCGGCTCCCTCCCTCGCACAGTGTGGCAGCACTTCATGCAGGCCGCATTCTGATTGGCGGGGAGATGGAATGGAAGTGTGAGCGGGTTTGGCGAGGGGGGCGTGCCGGGCCGGCTTGCCGCTCCGTGTGCCGTGTCGCATCCTTTTATCCGGCCGTCGCCGCAGGGCCGCAGGGGGAGGCCGCGGTCTCTATCTCTCTCCCTCTTACTTTCACTCAAGCCTCCCCCTCCTCCTCCTCCCCCCGCCAGTCATACCGGAAAAGCCGCTCTGCTTCTTTGAGAGCGCATTGAGAGTCGTAATGCCATTCTAATCCTCCGGGTCCTCCGGGTCCTCCTCTCCGGGTCCTGTGTCTGTGCTCTGTGCTCCGGGCGAGGCGAGGCGAGGCGCGGTGCTGAACCGAACCCGGAGTCAACTGGAGTGTCGCGTCGTCTGCATTATGAATAAAATTACTCGTCCGCCCTTGGCTGGGCCGGGCTCGGCCGCTCTGTCTCTCTCGCACCGACACGGGACGCCCCACGAGTGAGAGAGAGACAGAGCGGCCAGCTGTCGGCGCGCTTTGTCGGTCCGCGTTTGGCGCACCACGTCGCGACATGCAGTGGCCCTGCAGCGCCCTGCAGCGCCTCGTGAATCGCAATGTGGACGAGGCGGAGTCGGCGGCATGCGAGTTGCAATGTGTATGTATGTGATGCTCATGGCCCTCTTCTGTCTGTGTGTCTGCAGGGCCTGGACCAGCCCGTCCAGCTGCGGCAGCCGTCCTCGGCGGACCTCAACACGCCGCGGATAGACAGCTACCGCTTCTCCATGGCCAACCTGGAAGGTGAGTCGAGTGCAGCAGGTGCAGCACGGGCAGCAGGGGCAGCAGGGGCTCCTGGGGGAGCGGAGACAGACTGCCGGGCGCCACCGCCTGCCTGTTATGAAAATCGGGCATTGAAGAGGCGCGGCGCCGGCTGGAGGGGAACGCCCCGCCCCGCCCCGCCCCGCCCCGCCCCGCCCCGCCCCGCCCGGCGGACGTCTGAATTAATTTGCGTGGCCTTTACGGCAAAGTATTGGACAGAAGGAGAGGGGAGCGCGCGGGAAAATATGAAAATTGTTTTTGATGGGGCGTGGACAATGAGATCTTCCTGCCTTTAACACGAATAATGAAGGAAAAAGTTGGATAAAACGGGGCGGCATGAGGGTTTGCTGATGAAAAAAGAAAAGAAAATTATTTATTCAGGGGGTGGGGGCTTTGTTTGTGCGACGTTTTAAGGCGTCGTCCGTCAAGACACGTGTTTTACGGCAGTGGCGTGGGCCGAGCGAGGCGAGGCTCCGTCTCTCTCTTTCTCTCTCGTGTCAAGTCGGCCGCGCTGTCAGGATTCTCCTTGCCCGGTTAAAATACGATTTATTGTCCTGGACGCTGCACTGCGCGACGAGAAAAGTGTGCCAGCCGAGCGATCCCGGAGCGTCGTTTCGTCGCTCTGTCTCTCTCGCACCCCCACGGTACGCCCCGCGAGTGCGAGAGAGACGGCGCTTCGGGATCGGTCCGCCGAGGCGAGGCTCATTGTCCGAGCGCGGCCCGCGGCGATCCTCCCGCCGTGCATTACCGGCCTCTGCTTTCTCCGCCCCGCCGGCCGAAAACAACAACAGGAACCTAAGGAGACGCCTGTGTGTTTTTGCAGACTCGCAAGATGTCGACCTGGACGCCATCCTGGGCGAGCTGTGCGCGCTCGAGTCCCAGTGCGACGAGGCCATCGCCGAGGGTAGCGGCCTCGGCCTCGGCCCCGCCGGCAAGCGCACCTCGGCGCCCGTCCACGGCGCGCCCGGCCTCGGGTCGGGCGGCCAGACCGGCCTCGGCCTGGGCATGGCCCTCAACAGCCACTCGCGGTCCAACTCGGACGGCCACCGGGACTTCATGTGCAAGACCAGCTCGGGTGAGTAGGTTGCCGACGACGCCCCGTCGGGGAACGGACGCTCAGAACTGGACCGCCGGCCCATCCGCCGAGCGACTCCTGTCCAGGCGAATCGCTGCGTCTCTCTCGCACCCTCGCGGGACGCCCTCGCAGTGTGGCAGAGACAGAGCGGAGCGGCCGTGTTGACATGCCCCTTTCGCCCCGTTGCAGTGCGGACCGACTCCCCGGACAACGACTCGGCCTTCTCCGACAATGTGTCCATGCTGTCCAGCGAGAGCTCGGCGTCCAGCGGAGGCAGTGGAGGCAGCAGCGGCCAGAACAACGCCTGCCTCGCGCCCTCGCCCACACAGGTAAGGCGAAGCTCAGTCGCATTGTGTCTGTGGGAACCCCGAAGGACCCACAGGGCCCAAAAGCACCTCCAAGGGCCCAACGCCCAGTCCATAAAGTAAACCAAAACGTGTCGCTGGACTGGCACCGACTGGACTCGGCTCGCTGCAGGGTATTTTATTATGTCATTCAACTCGGATGCTCTTTCTCGCGAGCCAGGCCGCCGTGCTGCTCAGAGCGCTCAAAGGGACAAGCGCGGGGCGTGGTGCCCGGGGCTGGCCGCGTGGGAGGCCTCTCAGGCCATCCCAAGCCATCCAGGACGGCCCGCCGGAGCAGCCGTTCACGTCTGTCCCGAACGGATTCAAAGAGTCGAATCTGGGATGGGAAATATTGAAATATTGGATTGGACGGGCGGACGCGATTTACGGTCGGCGTGGGCCGCACACTGTAAGGGCCCACGCCGCGGTGATGGTGATGGAGGCCGTCAAGTACTAACCGGTGCGGTCGTTCGCAGATGGACGCCGCCAAGGCGGAGAAGATCCGCATCGCCCTGGAGAAGATGCGGGAGGCAGCCGTGCAGAAGCTCTTCATCAAGGTGTTCACGTCGGACGGCTCGGCCAAGTCGCTGCTCGTCGACGAGAAGATGACGGTGGGCCACGTGACGCGCCTGCTGGCCGACAAGAACCACGTCAACCTGGAGCCCAAGTGGGCCGTGCTGGAGCACCTGCCCGATCTGCATATGGGTGAGTTGCTTCGCTTTGCTTGCTGCAGCTCTGCCAAGCGCTGCAGCGAGGATGCATTTGTGTGGTTCCCGATTCCGCCACCGGGGCGCTGCCCCCTCCCTTCCGGTGTAGTGGCCGCGTTTGGCGCCGTGCCCGGCCGTGCCACCACTCCGTCGTGTCTCCCCGGCCGCGCCGCGCCGCCAGTGTGCTTGAGCCATGCTAAAGCCCGGTCCGCGTGTTGCAGAGCGCGTCTACGAGGACCACGAGCTGCTGGTGGACAACCTGATGATGTGGACGCGTGACTCGAAGAACAAGCTGCTGTTCCTGGAGCGCGCCGAGGAGCGCACCCGCCTCTTCCTGCAGCCCGAGGCCTTCCTGCTGGGCAAGCAGGAGTGCGCCGACTTCGACGACCACGCGCGGGCGCTGCTGCTGGAGGTGAGTGGGGCTTGGAGGCCTGCATGGCGGCGAGGAGGAGGGCCGTCGTGGGAATGGAGCGCGCAGTGGGCCAGAAGGCCGGTGGAGGCGGCTGGAACTCTAGACGCGTTTTGAGATGAGTCTCTAAACTGGACTAGAATCAAAAGTGTAACCCCACCAATGGATTCCTCGTTCGGAGAGCAATCCATTGGTGGGGTCGCACGTTCGGTTCGAGTTCCATTTAGCTACTCAGGAGCTCAAAACCCGTCCAGAACTTTGACCGCCTCCACCGGTCCTCTGGCCCACTGTGGAGGGGGCCTCCAGGGCGACCGAGTTCCACTCCACGGCGGCCTTCTTTTTGATTTACGCCGTCGAGCGCCGTTTTGTCTGCCAAGTCCGCGGCCCTCCCTGCGAGGCCCGGAGCGCGCTGCGGCGCTGCGGTGGGCCTGACGACAGGCGGGCCTGGCTCCAGACTTACGGGCTCCCCGAGGCTCGGGGCTCGGCCCGGCCGGCCGCTTCACCCTTCACCCTTCACCCTTCACCCGCAGGCGCAGGGCTCACGCCTTTATCGTTTTGTTTCCTTCCAGGAGTTCTTCTCGTCCCCCGGCGTCGGCGTGCCCGAGGTGGAGGGCCCGCTGTACATCAAGTCGGACTCGAAGAAGGGCTGGAAGAAGCACCAGTGCGTGCTGCGCGCCTCGGGCCTCTACTACCACCCCAAGGAGAAGGCCAAGGTGTCGTTCGCGCGACCTCGTGTGCCTCGCCACGTTCGACGTGAACCAGGTGAGTGTCCTCCGCCGCCTTGGCGCGCCCCGTGAGTGCGACAGAGACAGCGCCGCGAAGCAGCAGCTCTTTGGACTTGCCCGGCAGGTGCCCCGGCCCGGCCGTCGGCCCGGCCCCTTACGACGGCCGGTAGGCCGGCCCGGGTGCCGCCGTGTCCACGGGTCTGCCTACCCGCGCGCCGTGCCTGCCGTGCCGCGCGGAGTAGAGCGATTGCGAGAGCGGGGAGCGCATCCCCGGCCAGCCCGGCTGCACGCAGTCACGCAGTGCAGGCGCGAAGCGTGCGCCGCGATGATACGGCGACGGCATGGCCTTTCCGGGGTAATCGGATACGTGCGGGTCCGCGGGGTCACGCCCGCCGCTTCCCCCGGCAAGCGGGCCGGCCGGGCGGCATTCGCTGCACTGCACTTTTATATCGCGAGGTCCGCGTCCGCCGCACGCAGCGCGAAGCACGCCATCGTGTGCCTGAATCAGCCCGAGACGCATCGGCGACGTCGTAAAAGCCGTCTGCGTGTGTGTGTGTGTGCACGTCTGTGTGCGCGTGGGGCCGTCACCTTCAACTCCGCCGCCGGCACGCACCTAAGCCGCGTCGCGCGGTGCGGTGCCGCGGGCGCGCATCGCCGCATCGCGCCCCTGTCCTCTCACCTCACGCCCCTCGTAAATCTGGCCCATCCTTGGAGCCGTGCTCGCGGAGGCCACGCCGACGCCGAGGCCGGGGTCGCCCTTAACTCCGCCGTGCTGCTATTCAAACAAGCGGGGCACCTGCGGGACCGAATCGAACTGTCCGTTCGTGTCTCTCTCGCACACCTGCGGGGTGCTCCACGAGTGCGACGGAGGCAGAGCGACGAAAGCCCCGTTCGGAAAGCAGCCTGCAGCCCGCGCCGCTCGCACGTCGTGCGATGTGTGATCCCGGATTTATCACCACCACCGCGGCCTTCTCTTGTTTTCCCCCGAAAGGCGCGTCGTCGCGCGGAAGGCAGGAGGCGAAGGCGCGGCGTATTTCGGGGCGGCCCCCCGAACCACAACCCCGTCGCCGAGGACAGGGCCGCGGAGAGGAGCGGCAGCGCGGCCGGGGCTTCCTTCCAGCCAGCTTCGCGTCGCCGGCAGCATGTGGTGCGGTGGTGTCGCGCGGGGCGGGGTGGGGCGGGGCGCCTTGTCAGAAAGGGGGCGTGGAGGCCGGGCAGAGAGAGACAGACAGAGGCAGCGCGCTGTCGGCAGGAAAAATGGAATCGCGGTGTGCCTCGCCTCGGCTGGCGGGCGGTTCCGTCCCGTCTGTGTGGTGTGGTGGTCCTGAGCCCTCTCAAGCCACCAAGTCTCCAAGGGGTTCCCCCGGCCCCGCCCCGCCCGGCCTTGCCGCGACATTTCATTTAGGCCTGCTGCCTCCGCTGTGGCGGACAAGTAATTTTTCCTCGCGGCTTCTCCTCTCCTCTCCGCCTCCAGCTCATTGTTTCCCCGGGAGGGCGTTGTGGGGCGGCTAGCGGGGACGGTATGCGTCGCGCGTGCGTGGCTCGGCGGAGTTTTTAATAAAAACGTTCAACTTTTACAGGTGTACTACGGCGTGGGCTGGAAGAAGAAGCACAAGGCGCCGACCGAGTTCTGCTTCGCCATCAAGCACCCCAAGCTGCAGCAGCCCAAGTCGGCGAAGCACATCAAGTTCCTGTGCGCCGACGACGCGGACACGCTGCACCGATGGGTGGTCGGCATCAGGGTGGCCAAGGTAAGCGAGGCGGGGTGCGGCGGCGCGCAGCGGGACTGTCCCGCTCCGCTGGCTTCAACCCTTGCACCATTGTCGTAGGCATCCGCGCCGACCGGCCGGGCGGTGCGGCCCGGATGTGGTCTCGATGACATGAAAACAGTGAAAATCAATGCCGGTGGGAACAACCTCCTGACGCAACCTTTCTTTGGCAGTACGGACGCCAGCTGCAGGAGAACTACCGGTCGCTGTCGGAGGAGCTGGCCCAGGAGGAGCTGGACCGGCTGGCCAAGGCGCGCAGCTGCTCCGTGGCGTCCATCCACGCGTCGTCCATGTCGCCGGCCTCCATGCTGTCGCCGGCCGGCCTGGGGCTGAGCAGGCTGGGCAGCATCGTGCCCTCGTCGGGCGCGTCGTCGTCGTCCTCCAGCGGCTGCCTCAGCGACGCCGGCCGGTCCTCGTCCACGGAGCAGGACAACGACCTGGACGTGCGCAGCATGGGCGGCTTCGAGTGCGAGTTCCCGTCGGGCACCATCAAGAGGAAGCCGTCAGCCATCCCGTCGCTGCCGCTCACCAGCACCACGCGGCAGATCATCGAGAACGGCGAGGACGAGAACGACAAGGCCGGCGGCGGCACGCTCACGCGGCGGCTCAGCCGGCGGCGGTCCACCATGGCGGACGCGGACGGCGCCAGCATCGGCAGCAGCGGCAGCAACTCGTCGACGCTCAAGAGGCACACGACGTACAGCGCGTGCCGCGGGTCGCCCAGCCACGCCAGCCCCGTCGCGTCGCCCAGCCACTTGAGCCCCCTGGACGCCGCCACCCCCGTGGCCATGAGCCCCGCGTCGGCCACGCCGACCGCCTCGCCCGTCCCGAGCATCGGCGCCGTGCCGCACAGCCCCGTGTTGTACGCGTCAGTGGCGTACGCGTCGCTACCCGTGGTGCCGCAGGGCGTGAACGGGCACGGCCTCGGCCACGGCGACGAGGTTGACGGCGCGGGCTCTGACCTGGAGAGTCTTCCCTTGCCGCCGCCCCCGGAGCTGTCGCAGAGCACGCTCAGCCTGGACTCGCTACCGCCGCCGCCCGCCCCCGGCGAGCTCTACAACGGGGAGCTGAGCGGCAGCTCGCTGTCCCTCGCCTCGCTGCCGCCCCCACCTCCCAGCCCGCCGCCCCCAGCCCCCGCCAAGAAGATCTCGTTCAAGTTGCCGCCCAGGAGCTGCAGCCCCGAGGAGGTGCAGTACGACCAGCCCCGCGTCCAGTACGGCAGCATGCAGTACGACAGCATGCCCAGCATGCCGCCCGAGATGCCCGAGCTGCCGCCGCACCCCATCCTGCAGGCCAAATCCGTGCTGAGGAACGGCACTGCCAACGCCACCAACGGCCACGGCCCCGCCTACGCGCACACGGGCTCCATGCCGCACCAGAACGGCCACAAGAAGATCAGCTTCAACCTGGGCGAGGACGGCATCGTGAACGGCGGCCGCGACGACCGGAAGACGGCGTCGCTCGGCCACCAGAAGCGCATCACCTTCAAGCTGCCGTCGCCCAGCGACGAGCGGCCGCCCATGAGGGTGCCGCCGGTGCCGGCCTTCGCGGGGGAGGCGCCGCCGCTGCTGGCCAGGAAGCCGTTGCCGCCGCGGCGCAGCGAGAACACGAGGCTCAGCTCCGGGCCCCTGCCCGAGCCCGAGCCGGACTTCCTCAAGGACCTGCAGAGGGTGATGCAGAGGAAGTGGCAGGTGGCGCAGAAGTGCAAGCAGGAGCCCACCACAACCCCCCACGAGGTGAGTCAAGTCACGCCTCTTTCACACTCCTTTTGACGTTTGTGCCTCGATGTTCAGAATTTTAATCCATTTCTTTGTCCCTTCAGGTTCTTGGTTTCCGGGACCCGCCTCCGCCAGTAGCGGACTACAAGGAAACGAATGTTAGTAATTGGGTACAAGAGCATTATGGTACCAGTGAGGATGAATTGGACAATTTGTATGAGAATGTTCTGAACCGAATACCCGAATTAAGCTGTGATACAAGGACTGTGGCACAATATGCTATGCCAGCACCTGTGCCAAATCAGCAAAGTGCCATCGCCCTGGCCGCCGCCAAAAAGCGGCCGCCCCCACCTCCTCCCAAGCGCAGTGAAACAACACACCTGACTACGTACAGTAGTCCTCAGAGGATGCACTGATGATGTTAGGTGATTTTTGTTTTTTAAATAGCCAAGAGACTTTTTCTTTAAATATTCAGAATTTGTTGAAAATACAGTACTGAATTTTGTGACAAGTGGTTGATGTACCATTGGTCATTCTCAAGATGCCATGTGAACTTTAATGTAAAGTGAATGTATGTGTGAGCTTGTTAATGATTGATTTATTTGGGTATGAGTAAGATTGCCCAGGTCTGGCATATTTATAGTTTGTTATACTGCCCTTAAAGTGTTGCTGATAGCTTTGATAGTGTGTGATTGTTGAAGCTTCTGTTTTCAAATGTTTCAAAGCCAAAATTCAGATATGTTTTGTATAAGAGACCTCAGTTTTCTCAATGTCTTTATTGTACTTTTTTTAAATTTTGAGCTTGAACAACTTTTGTTCAGGCTCCAAACCATTTTATAAAGTTTGAAACATTGCCGAACATTTGATAATCAAGTTTTACGACTGTTCTGTACTTCGAGCTTAATTCCAATTGTGTTCACAAAATTTCTTTGCACTTCATGTGCAGTGTCAAAAAGACTTCCTGTTTCGTTAGCAATTTCCAAAATCCATATTTGACTGAGTTTTGATTTATCTATTCTTTCGTACTCCTTTTGCTATGAAATTCTTTAACCTTGTTCAGGCAAGAATAATACTTTGTGATCAATGTACTTATATGTCTGTTAACTGTCATTAATCAAGGCCATTAGAAGATTTGTAAACTGGACTTACTGTTATACTTTTTGTTTTACCATAAAGAGACCAATTTTTACTCAAAATTGTTTAGGCTCTTGTTTTCCTTGTCTGATTTTAATGTTCATGTCAATATAGTATACAATCAGCAACACTAAGTGATATGTTATGAATAAAAATTCCTTCTTGAAATAGATCATTAAGAATGGGAGACCCCTTTGAGGTAATGAAATATTGAAATCCTCAACTTAGTCATTAATTTTTAAACAGAAAATTGTATATTGATGGAGACCCCATTCACTGATCTCTGTGAATATGAAATGTTAATTTATAGTGTAATGTAGTATGTGTTCAATTATCATTTCTTTTGTGTCATTTCATGTAGATTTATTAGTAACCATCCCAAAGATAAATTTCTTTGTTTTGTACTGCTGTTTTAGATATCTCTCTCGTTTATTTAACAAATTGATTTTGAGTTGTGAAAATCACCTGCAAAATTTTATTTTATTTTGTTTTTTTTTTTCTGTTTGGTCTTAAAAAATTTTAGGTAGCCTAAAGGATATTTCTTTGCTGCATATACAGGGTACGTCTACATCCAAGTGAGCTTGGTTTGGAGTGCAATTATTCATTGTGTTCCTTTAAATAAAACCAGTCATTTGTTTTGTAGATTGTTGTTTTGATCATAAGAAATAATGTTCACATGGAATGTTAAACAACACTGTCTTTATACGACAAAGTTCAAAAAGTCTAAAAATTGACAACTACTCCAAAAGGGGAGCAAAGGCGTTTTTGAAGTTACCTGTTAGTTAGTATTGCAACAGCATGAAACGTTTAGCACTACAAAGAAATGTGTGAAGTAATTCACAAACCTGCTGTTTGTTCAATAATGTTACATTTTGCACGTTTTAGGACCTCTTTTGAATCAGGAATATTTTTCCTCATGTCTGATATCCTTATGTCTGAATGTGACTGATAATAATCAATTTATAAATCCTGCCTGTATTGAGATAAATGTCTGCAAACTGCTGTTCTCATATTTTACACTGGTAAAGTACTGATTTTCCAAAAGCTGATGTTTGATACTAATTATTATTGTGTTATGTTTATGACAGTGCCTGTGCCCTTTTGACCACAAAATGTTTCCAATGTAGTGTAGAAAAACGTTTTGACCAGCCCTATTTGACTTAAGATTCCATTCCGCCCAGCAGCTTTGCATGAATTTTACATTTGTTTTACCAGTTTACCCCTCAATTTTCCAAAGTTGTTACAATTTAACTTCTATCTCACGATAAACGTTGTCATGGACTTGTGTACTTCGAGCTGAAACCTGTAAATATGAATGATTTATGTGTTATATGTATAACGATACATAAAATGTACAAAGCTATTAAACAAAATTACCAACGAATTGCATCCTGTTGATTTTTACTTCCCCTTTTCTGATTGCGCATGATCATGCCATAAGACCAGAACAGAACACAAACATATCTAATAATTAAGGCTCGACCATGAAACAGCCTTGCGGGTTGGACTCCCAGTCGTGACAATGCTCTGATGTCTTGTTTTGCGCGTGTTCCCTGTGACGTGCCAAAGGGATGGTCTATTTTCCCGGCGCTATGCAACAATACGGTTGGCTGCCTAATCACACGGCACTGCGCGGCACTGCGAACAACGAGCGGCGGTGCGGCCTCACACAGGGGAGGGGGGATCGTGAATACACCATCCTCGAGAGACATCCACAAGGCGCGCGCGGAGTAGTGACGAGCCCATGTGCGTGGAGTATCGGCGCTGTCGGGGCGACGCACCGACGCATCTTTCAACCATTGTCAATGGGACTGCTTTTCATACATCGGAACATAATTCATTTAAATAATTTTTTTTTAATGTAAAATTGGAACAGACATCTCATCCCAGAATGAAAGTTAATTTGAAAATGCAAAAGCCTTTACAGAGTTTACAGCGCTTTCGCTGACTTGGAGCCGAATTCGACTCGATGGCCCTCGGCAGTCGGCACCGGTCAGCACGCGGTGGGCGCTGGAAGGCAGGAGGCGCTAGGCCGATAGGCCCAGCGGGAGGCGGTGCCACCCTATGACACACAAGCTACTGTGCACATTAATTGTGTACCCATGTAATATCCTCCAGTGTAGCCACTGCAGCTTCTCATTTCCTGGCCGCAATCTACGGGGAGGGAAAGGCAACGGAGCGGGGGGTGGCCCAGCACCTTCACAGACACTTTACAGACGACTTACAGGCGCTTTACAGACGCCCTACTTGCTTTGCTAACTTTATACAAAAGCTTTCTTTCTTCTTTTCTGCTTAATATCAGATTCAATCAAGAATATGGTTTAGTTTAAAAGGTAACACACCATTTCACATTTCACTTCTGCTTGAAGTAGCTAAAGGTGGACATGTGGACTAGGTGGACCACGGATCGACACCCGCTGCATCCGCAATTTCTGACTTGAATTCTGACTTGAAAATTCTGTGTCGACAGCCTTTAGTTGACTGCAGTTGCTTACATGAGGCCTAGATCCTCGTTTACATCCCTGGTCTCCGTTTTCATCTCCCACCGTTGTCACATCCCACGACGACCACCACCACCACCACAACTACCACCTACCACAAAGACGACCACGACCACCACCACGACCACCACCACGACGGCGGGCCCGCGCTCACATTGGCACGCGTGGTGCGGCAGTGCGGCCTCGCTGGCTGTGCGCTGTACCCAACGGGGTAAGGACGGCAGAGGAAGGGAAGGCAGGGGGCGGGGCGCGCGCGACCATCTCACCTACAAACCACCACAACCCCAAGACAAGCGGTATGACCACGAGGCCGACAGGGGGCCGCCGCGCCATGGCAGGCCATGGCGGGCCATGGTAAGGGCCGGCGCCACGGGCTACCATGGGCAGGCCATGGGCAAGCCTGGGCCGGGAACATGGCCACGCAGCCACCGCCACATCTCGCCATATCCTCTCTTATCTCCTTTATTAATGGTGAACAGCGTAGATGGGACCATAAATTTACTAACACTTGGGAGGGTTTTGCCAGGAGGTGGAGAGCTGGGGGTGGGGTGGGGACGGAGATGGAGAGAGGAAGAGAGAGTGAGAGGGAGAGAGAGGGAGGGGAGGGGATGTTGCCCTGCTTAATGAGAGTCACAGGGCGTCCTGAATAGATTCGAAGGTGAGGCTCGGCCACAAGAACGGAGAGGAGGGGGAGGAGGCGGAGGGAAGGACGAGGAGAGAGCCGGCGGGCGAGGGTGTGGGTGGGGACGGGGTGTGGGCGGGGTGGGCGGGGTGTGGGCGGCTAGACCGTGGTGCGGCGGCCAGCCAGGCCAGCGCGTCCTCTTCGCCTTATCTCGCTGTAATGGAATACATAATGATGATTTGCAGGCCACCACAAAGCTTCCAGAGCGTTCAAATTAATTTCGCCTAACGTTAGAATGGCTTTGGGCTGTGCTTAGCTGCCTCGGCCCCGCCCGGCCCCGGCGGGCCCGGCGTGCCAGAGATGTGTGGCGCCTGACGACATATATGCGCTCGCCACACACCCTGCTCTCGGCTTTCCCGGCTTCCGCAGGTGGAGAGGAAGGCGCAGGCCCTGGCCCTGGCCGATTGCGCGTTTGAGTCGACTCGTCTCGCGACGCGTTGGTCAGATAGCGCCGCGAGCCAGCGGACGCAGCGGACGCAGCGGATGAGCCGGCGACGGACTGCGGGGCGCGCGGCGCGCGGTGTGGGTTGGCCGACCCTCCGCCAGATGCCGCCACCGTGCCGGATCGACGCCGCAGTCGCGCGGGGCCGCGGCCCGGAGAGGCGGCCTTTTTGAAGAGCGCGCTCATGTGGCGCCGCGACCCGGAACCGGAGGACCGATGGGTCAAACGGAGAGGCGCGCGGCGCGCAGGTACGCCGAGCTCGAGATATTCCGAAATACATTAAAGGGGTGGTCGTAATTTTGGCCGAAAGGGTGGCGGCGGCGGCTCCTTCCGCGGACCGGTTTCCGCGGACCGGTGGAGCGCTTTGCCGCGGCCGGCGCCTTCCCACGCGGAGATGATTGCGGCGGTGCACTGCCGGGGCGCCCGGGAAGGAGGTCGACGGCCACCTCGCCCTGCTCGCGGCTCGCCCTCTGTGGGGCTTTCATTTGCAATAAAACCGCACGCGCTGGACCTCCAGCGGCAGGACGCGCCGCCAGCCGCCACCCGGGACTGGAGAGTGCACCCCGCGATACAGTGCTCCGCACTACTTGTCGGAGGGGAGGATGATAAGACGGCTCGCGCGGGCAGAATCACATGTCCGACATCACCAAGTTCAAATTGAAAGTCACTTCTCATTTCAATGTCGTAAAAACAAACTAAAACCTTTGTGTTCAATTACAAAGGGATCCGTGTCGGAACTCGTAAAACAACACGATGTTTCGAAACTCGTAAAAAAAGCGGAGGGGATATTTCTAAACTCGTAAACTGGGATGTTTCCAAACTCGTAAAAAAGTAGGTCCGGGCGTTGGGCCGGGAGGGAAAGAGGAGAGTAGAGGGAGAGGCGCGCGCTGACCGGTCAGAGGTGCTGCTCTCCGTCCTCGCCCCGTCTCTCTCGCTCCTTCTCGCCCCGACTGACCTCTGTCGTTGTTCGCCCATGGCTGCCCATGGCCAAGCACTGTCCTCCTCGCCGCCCCGCCTCCCCCGGCCCGGCCTGCCCACCCGCTATCCGTTCCATCCTCTTCCCTCTGTTCCGGCGTTCCGGCGCCGATGGAGTCACGACGTCATCGGCTGGCCGAGGCGCCGAGGCTGGCAGCGCGTCGTGGACGTCGTGGACTCGACTCGGTGTCTCGACGGTCTCGGCCTCGGCGCCGCGGACCCTGCGCGCCGCCAGTTCTGTCGCCAGCCGAGTGATACGGAAGAGCGGTTCGTCGCTGTCTCTCTCGCACCCCTACGGAGAGCCCCGTGAGTGCGACCGAGGACGATGAAACGACTCTTCTGAATCGCCCGGCCCGGCAGGTGCTTTTCATTGGAGCCGGCGGCTTGTCGTGATAGCGGACTGCGAGTTGCGGCGGTGCCGGCCAAGGTGCCGGCCAAGGTGCCGGTCTGGGCGGTGCATGGATTTGCCTCTCAGAGGGAGTGCGCGTGTTTCCGTCTGGCCGTTTTCGCCGCCAAACTCGCCAGGCTGCCGGGCCCCACGTGCGCGGAGCGCGGCGTGCGCGGCGTAGTAGTGGGATTGGACTGCGAGCACGCCACGCCCTGCCCCGCCCTGCCCCGCCACGCCGCGGGGTGGCTGTAAACACGGCTTGTCCGTACAGCCCCGCGAGGGCAGCTCAGCCCTTACGGCGTGGGGCGGGGCGTGGCGAGGCGGGGCGTGGCGTGGCGCTAGAATTGAGTTCCCCCTTTATTTGGGGGCGCCGTGCAGGTATTACGTGGGGCCTAATCCTGTTGGTCCCTAATGTAAAGAGGGGCGGTCGCCGCGACCCCCACCGCCACCGTGCCACTCCATCAGCCCCTGGCCCTTGCTAGCCCTTGCTTGCTGGAGACTGATTCCGAGACTCGTTTCCGCCGCTCTGTCTCTCTCGCTCTCCCCGGCGCGGCCCGTTGGGGTGCGAGAGAGACAGAGCGAGGAAAGCTCCGTTCGGCATCAGCCTGCTGGAGGCCCTGGAGGCCCTGGAGGCCCTGGAGGCCAGCGTCTTGAGGCTTTGACCCGCTTAATTACCAAGGGCACGGCGTTGCACGGCTCAAGGAGATGCACTGCACGCGTGGCGACGGCGGTACACTTGCAGTGGCCCAGCGGGGCCTCGCGCGAATGGACAGTGTCGTGTACCTGCAGCGGACACACACCAGGGGACGACGACGTCCCTGGGAGAAAGGCGGGCGTGAAGCGCGGGGGCACCTTGGCTGCCTTGGCCGCCGGCCGCCTTGGCGGGCACGCTCTGCTTGTTGTGGGTGCGACACCCCATTGTCCTTGCCGGCCTGCCTGCCTGCCTGCCTGCCCGGCCACAGGGTCGGCCGTACCGTACCGTACCGCGGAAGTGGCATGTTGATGAACCTGGCCGGATTATCGCCGGGGATTACGTGTACGTTTGTGTCGTGTTTGTGATGACCTGCTGCCGGGGGGATGGCTGGGGATGGTCAGGCTGCTGGGCTGGGTCGGGTCCAGCGCGGACAATGCAGCGCGGCGCTGCGCGATGCAGAATGCAGATCAGGCATCAGACAGCTGGCAAGGCATGCCATGGCACGGCATGGCCACACGGCATGGCCACACGGCATGGCCGCGCGACCGCAGTCGTCGCCATCCGCATTCATTTTTCAATCACGCCCTTTGAGATGGGTGTGACAACGTGTCGCGGCGGCGCAATGTTTACCCAGTTCTCGGTTTTGCTCCGGACTCCGGACGCTGCTGACGGACGGTCCCCGGCGGGGCGGCGGGGCCTCGC